ACACACACACACACACACACACACTGGACAGTGAGCGGGTGCTCCTCGTCTCCCCCCCGCCATGCCTAATTTCATTATTCTATTAAATAAGGTTCATTAACAGTGGTTGGATGGAGAAACTCTGCTTCTAAGGTTTGATAAACACACGTGAGTATGAAGCGATGCCAGCTCCTCATTGTGCAAAGTATCTTTTTCTTTTACACTTTGAGCGATGCCACAAGAAAAAGGAGTAAAGTGAGAAATGCGTTCGGGGCGTTGCGGTTCTGGAGTCGACATCAGGACCAGGGTGGCCGAGAGGTTAAGGCGTTGGACTTAAGATCCAATGGGCAAATGCCCACGTGGGTTCGATCCCCACCCCTGGTATTCTGTGACATGTGTTTGCTGTTATATTACAGTCACAGTAAATATTTGTCGATGAGAGCACAGGAACTCTGGAGTTTTCACATCGTCCCTCAGATGTGCCTGTGTTGCACTTTCATCTCTAAATTGCAGCACAAGCCCGTTTTTGCACTTTTGCGTGTGACGGAGATTACAGGTAGATTAAGCGAAAACAATTTTCCACGTCGCAACCCGGCTAACCTCCAGTTAACTCAAGTGCAAACTCTAATACCGCAATTCACAAATGGGTGTGAGCTAACGACGCGCTAGGTGAGCGAGGGTGTGAGGGACGAATGAATAAGTGAAGAGGACAGAAAGTGTGGGAAGGTGCGAGGACGTAACCCAAAGACAAACACAGTTATTATCTGTTTGCTCCTGAAATAAATGGCCCCATTAGCTGTGATGATGCAGGTCATTAAAACACCTCCAACCTGCACCTGCCTTCAGAAGCTCCAGACTCACATCATTACATTCACATCCCATCTCAGCTCTCGCTCATATCAGCCACTTAATGGCATCACACGGCCAATATAACTGCAAGGTGCGAGGTTAATGCAGAACGGTTTAGTCTGCTCTCTTCATTATACTAATGAGTCAGTGTGCAGAGCCGTGCAGCGCCCTCGCCAGGCAACGGGCGCGAAACTTTCCCACCAGGAACCTGAACAACGTGCGTCTTTCCTCCAATCACTTCAGACATGTGATTACTTGTACTTGTGTTAATCTGGACATTTAGAGTGGTTCCTTCCTCGCTGCTGGTGAATTTCAATTCTTTTTTTCTTTCTGAAAACCAGAATATACAGATAATTATTACAGCGTCTGAAACTGGTGCATTGTCTTAATGTTGATTCACAACATTCAGTTCATATTGAATGTTACTGCCACTGCAGCTCGTATTTCTCGGTGTTTATGTCTCGTCTGTGTTGTGTGTTCCGCCCCTTGCGAAGCCAAAGCTGTTAACTGGTGGCGGGGCACCAGATAAATGGAAAGGGGGATAAATGGGGTCACTGGTTTCAGAGCCAGCGGGGATCAGCAGATGAGCAGGTATAGTTTCTCCAGGACGATGCAATAAGTCGATGAGTCTGGAGCAGAGAGGAACGGCTCTGCACACAGGCAGAAACAAAGAAATGTGTGATCATACGTTGGGTTTGAAACAGGATTTAATCAAATGAACGAGTGATTTCCTAAGTTGCAGCCGTATTAGTTGAAAACGTCCAGATTTGGTGGCAGAGGAACTCAAAATATCAGCCTGACGGATCCTGTGAAAGAAGCACTCACTCTTCATCCTGTGCAGTGTGAGGTCCACGACACGTCCTCATCAGTGACGAGGTCGTGTCCGCTCCATCCGAAGGGTCGAGAACCGCCCGGAACAAAAGCTTCTTAAATCATCGCAGTTCTTATCAAAGCTCCACCAGCAGGAGATTTCCTAGAAATCTGAAATCAATATGTCGTGGACGTGGATGAAGAATGAAAACCACCAAAATGTCGTCGCTTTCTGATAAGAAAAGACAAAATCACACCAAGAACGCCGGGTTTCACGGAACCTTCGAGTCACTCGCCAATTCAAATTAAAACCCTGAAAGGTTTCGATGACCGGGTTGATAAATTCAGTTTAAGCCCCTCGACGCCTCCTGTCTCCTGTTTGCTTGCTCTCTCACTCTCACACGTTACGTTTGCACATCATCATCATCATCATCCTCTTCATCATATTACTTTCAACACTTGTTCTTTATCACTATCAACACAACCGTTCATCTCTCCCTGCACGATTCCGCGTGACGTGTCTTGCTGTGGAGAAACCTCTCAACCCTCTCACTCATTTATGATTCTGTTTCCAGAACCAGGCGACACTTTATCAACCCTCGTCAGTCCCATGATGCATTGGGACACCGGAGCGTCATCAGCTGAGGAGGCGGACCACTCAAGTAAATGTTTTTACTTTTTTCACTTTGAAAAGTTTGGTTGGTTTTCCTCTGACGAGCCGTTTCCCCACATCCCGCTGCAGTTACAGAATACTGAGTTTGTTGGTAGATGTTCTGATTGTGGATATTTATATGCTAGTGTTAGCATCGACCTGAACACTAAGAGGGAACATGGCGAAGTACAAATTCTTCGTTACTGTTCTCAAGTAGATCTCTACTTCCTCGAAATGTTTTCTTCTTTTTTCTTTTACTTTTTAAAAACATTTACATTTCAACACAAATATCGGAACTTTTCACATTTTCAAAACAGGCTCGTTAATTTCGTTTGAATGCATTTGAGGGGAATTATCAGTTTTTATATTTTGCATCAGAAAACTGAACTTTGGTACTTTTACTTGAGTTGTTTTGAAGGATGTGTACTTCTACCTGAGTGAAGAATTTCTTCTTACATGCCGACACACTGCTGCTATCGACCAAGAGAAATTTTAAAAGCGTTCATGTATGACACAGGTGAAAATGTTCCACCTGCCGACTCATTAGACCCAAACAAAGGAATCTCATGATTTGAATCTGTCCACAGGTACGAGCAGTTTGGAGGTGAAAGAGAATCAGGAGGAAAAGATCCAGGTGGACTGTGACCTGCTGCGAAAGTATCATCCTTCAGCTTTTTGCACAACTTTCCCCAGAAACAGATCCAGGGCCATGAAGAGGAAGCAGCCGCTGGTGGATGGAAAAGACCGGCTGCTCTACCAAAGCCACTCGAGCTGTAAACGAGTCGCGTGGGCCGTCACTCAGAAGAACGCGGTGGTGCAGCTGAACGAGCTGCGACCCGGGCTGCGCTACGAGATCACGTCAAAGACGGGTCCCCTGCACGCTCCGGAGTTTTCTGTCGGGGTGGAGGTGCACGGCCTCCGCTTCGAGGGTCGAGGGCCGACAAAGAAGCAGGCGAAGATGAGGGCCGCGGAGCTGGCTCTGCGGTCCTTCATCCAGTTCCCTAATGCCTCCCAGGCTCACACTGTGACGGAGAACTTCACCGGCACACCCACGGATTTCACAGCAGATAAAGTGGACACCCCCGATGCGTTCCTCCAAGAGTCTGAGCCATCACTGTTTGAAAATCTCCTGCACGGCAACACAGCAAAGAAGGAGGTCTTCTCCAGCACTTACAACCACAAACGACTTGTTCATCTCACACTGGACTTGGTCTCCTCAACCAATCCAAAGAGACGAGCCCTCTGCACCTCACTTCTAGAGCACCTCAGCCCAGTGGCGCTGCTCAACGAGCTGCGACCAGGCCTCAGGTATATGTGCCTGGTGGAGAGAGTTCACGGCAGACTGATGAGGAGCTTCGTTATGGTTGTGCGGGTGGAGGGGAGGGTGTTTGAAGGGTGTGGTCTCAGTAAGAGACGGGCGAAGGCGCAGGCGGCAGCGGCTGCTCTACAGTCTCTGTACAACATCAGCCTGGGACCAGAGAAGAAGGTCATGGGCCTCCAGAGCAGCAGAGCCAAACATCAGCTCCCTCAGGTGAGTAGAACTTCTGTTTTCCAAGAAGAGCTCGCTGTGTTTCCAGGTCTCCTGAGGAGAGACTGTTAAAAAGTATAAATATAAACCCCACAACGCCAACACTTTCAACACAAACTCCATCCGGACGAGCATTTTAGCTCCGTGTCAGAAACTATCTCTGTCTACTCGCCGGAAATCACACATCACATGACCCGTCACGTGCACTGGAGATGTGCACACCGGCGTAAACAGGGAGCAGGTCGTTTACTCTGCAGTTGGTTGCTTGGTAACAGGAAATACTGTACACGATGAAAAGTGAGACGAGGGATTTCAAAGCTTCAGGGGCAGTGTGGGAACGAGCGGGTATGTAAAAAAACATGGTCCGTCCACAGAGAAGCTTCTGAGTCTGGAATAAAATGTTCGTGTGACTTATTTGAGGAGAAATGTCTGATCTGCTTTTTTCAGGACATAGACAGAGCCGACTCTGAAACGTGACAAAGATCCTTCAGTGTGTTTCATCACGAGTCAGCTTCTGACCGCGACGCGGAATCTGTCCCTCGTCTTCAAAACGATCGGGCTAAGCGTCTCTGAGGCGTGCTACCAAATGGAGGGTGCTGCACATCAGCAGGACCATCGCGCCCCGAGGCCCGAGAGCGGGACGGTGTCCTGTCTGCTCATCTGCAGCATCCAAACAACTTCATTATGTCTCTGAGAATCGTCCTCGACGTCTTCTAATGTCATGCTTTATGAATACAAGCAGATTTGTCTCATGCGATCGGTCCCGGGAATCTTAGAAAGACGGATATGCTCGTTCTTTATCGAACCCGGTGGCTGATTTGACGAGTGAATCCACACAGCGGAGGAAGCAACAGCAGCATTTTGGTTGAGAAGAATGAGTTTGACGTGATTTGAATAAAGAGGTGGTTTTACGCTGCTGCAGGCAAAATGTAAGAACCAACGATTTGCAGAAGTTTCTCGGCGCCTTTGTCCAGAAGACAGATTTTGATCGTTTGGCGTGCACACACACACACACACACACACACACACACCCTTCAACGTGAACTGTCTGTCAGGCGGCGTGACGCATTAATGAACATTATTACACCACATTAGCGATGAAGGAGGAGCGGCAGCAGACCAAGGAGATTGAGGTGGAGCGGGAAGGCGGTGTGAAGAGCATAATAATCTCACAGATAATTGTTTAACACACTCATTACACACAACCTTGTGCCACTGTCACCCAGAAATCACCGAGCAGAGAGTTTCTCTAAAGGAAAAAAATCAAGTCCAAGCTCCAACGAAACAAAAACCACAGGAGAGATCTGAGGCGACAGTGAGGCTGCACAGACTCTTTTATCTAAAAAGACTCATATCAAGAAGTGAGTTGGTTTTTAAAATCCTGGGACAATAAATACAGATAAAGCTGCTTTTTAAATAGTTGTATAGTCAGAAGTGTCTCAGGTGCAGATGTGCAGAGGGAATTTATTCCATTATTGCTTCAATATTCCTGAAGTCAGTAAGATGTGGTTGATTCTACAGCTAATGAAAACTTCCAGGCAGTTAGAGAGCAGAATACAGTATTGTAGTACTTGTAAAGTACTTCATACTAATAGGTCAAATCCTCTCCATTACCCCCTGGTGGCCGGTTGCAGTCTCAACCAAAGTAGGCTGTGGATGGTTTCTGTCCTGTCAGGCAGTTTCTCCCACGCCGATGTTGGTTCGAGTGTTTCTGATCAGTTTGTTATTTGATGATATAAAAACTGCACGGACTCTTTCCTCAAATTAAATCTCATTTTTGAGGCTTGAACCAAATCTCATGAACTCATTTATGCAAATCTCCGCAGTCAAACACCAGCTGGGTTCTGGTCATAGTTCATATTCTACCATGGAAAAATAATCACAATGTACAATTTAATGTTTCTTCCGTTTCCTCTGCAGTTCCTCGCGGAGTCCATCTTCCACCTGGTGAGAGAGAAATACACAGAGTTGACGGACAGTTGTTTCTCTTCCTCGCACGCTCGTCACAAGGTGCTGGCGGGAATCGTGATGACCAGAGGTAAGGGGCGGAGACGGGGCGGGTCCGATATGGAAGCTGAACCGTCGCCTCAGCTCGAGGTCGCCACCCACAGTTCATCAGTCATTTCTTTGTGTTGATTTTCCTGCTGCTCTCCGTCCAGGCTTTGACCTCAGATCGGCCCGAGTTGTGTCTCTGGCCACGGGGACTAAGTGTCTGGACAACGTGAGCGACCGCGACTCGACGCTCGGGGACTGTCACGCTGAAGTCCTCAGCAGAAGGGCGCTGGTTCGATTCCTGTACTCCCAGCTGGAGCTGCTGCTCTGGTACAAACACAAACTCTTGCTCTTTGTTGAAAAGGCCACACAGATGTACAGTCTAGGTTTTTAGAAGAAGCTCAGAAAGGTCTGCACAGAATCGCGGTATCGAGGCGCTGCCGATACACGTGGTCGACCAATCGTGAGTCAGTCTCAGCCCCAGATACTAATACTCCTGGATGAGATTTAAGTTAAGAACACACACGGACACAAAAAGGTTTTCTTTAACTTTTTAAGGTCCAGAAAATATCACAGTACACTTCGTGTGATGTCGGTTTCACCACTGACGTGTTTTCAGCCTTTTCTCAGAAGCTGGTTTTGTTCCCTTCGCGTTGAAACGTGAATCGTCCTCTCATCGTCGTATTTCTGTCTTTTCTCTCTGAAGGAAGTCGGCAGCCGGCGAGGAACAATCCGTCTTTGTGCCAAACAAAGGCGGCGGCTTACGGCTGCAGGACGGCGTCTTCTTCCACATGTACGTCAGCTCGTCGCCGTGTGGAGACGCTCGACTCAACTGCCCCTACGAGACGACTGCTGCCCGTGAGACAAACACGTTTCCACTGGTCTCAGACAGTGATGCAGTAACATTCAGCAAACAGCAGAGAAATTAGAGGTCGATGCTAAAAACAGCAGATAAATATATTGGACCAAACACTGACTTCATTATTCTGCTGCTGTAAAATCTGCTTCAGATTTCAACATAAACAGAAAACCGTCAAAATTGTATTAGTCGTTAGTCTCCTCACCTGATTGGCTGCTCCTTAACGAGTTCATTGACCTGCAGGGGGTGGGGCTCTGGTCCCTATCCGTCGCTCTGAGACACAACAGATTCAAACCCGTGAAATAATAAATCAGTGCAGAACATGTCTTGCTCTGCCTCATCTGATTCCTCCTCCTCGGTCAGATCCCAGCCGGAGGTTTCGCTCTCACCTCAGGGTGAAGGTCAATGGAGGCGAGGGCACGCTGCCTGTCATGGCACGAGGAGCCAATCGGGAACGGGACGTTGCGTCGCCGGGTGAACGCCTGGTCGCCATGTCCTGCACCGACAAAATGGCAAAGTGAGTGCGACTGTGGATTAACTCCTCGAGGGAATTCTTTCACTCGAACTCGCTGATCACCTGAGTAGATTTCAGGATGAAGGTCACAGTGAATATGAATCTGTTTCTCACTGAATGTGTCAACAGGTGGAGCGTAGTCGGACTCCAGGGGGCGCTCCTGTCTCACCTGGTGGAGCCGGTTTACCTGCACAGCCTGACGGTGGGGACGCTGAGCCACACGGGTCACCTGGGCCGAGCCTTGAACCGGCGCCTCGCAGCCGTCAAGCAGCTGCCCTTCCCCTACCGACGCCGGCAGCCGCTGCTCAGCTGTACGTACACGCAGCGTCTGAAAACTGGATAAAAACACCTTGGAGGAGGAAAATATCACGTTCAGAACAATGTGATCACGTGGTTTTCTCTCCGCAGGTCTGAACGAGGCTCGGCCGGCCGGGAAGGCCCCGAGCGTCAGCCTGAACTGGAGCTGTGGTGACGGAGGCCTGGAGGAGATCAGCACCTCCACGGGAAGGAGGAGGGACTCTGGGACGCCATCACAGCTCTGCAGGAGCTCGCTGTTTGACCGCTGGCAGGGGCTGCAGCGTCAGGTGGGTCAGAGACGCCCGGAGACGGGTTCATGTCAGGAGATTGCTCGAGGGGACTCAGGCAGAGAGGGGATGTGAGCTGCATGAAATAACAAGTGGATCACTGAACATCACGAGGAAGCAAAGACAAATCATCCAGAAGTTAAAGAGCCCAAACAGCTGAACGCACGTTTGCCTTGTAGCTCGAAATACGACTGAATGATCATGTGACTTTTAGTTTCAGATGTCACTTCCTGGTTTCAGCTGTTGAATCCCCAGCGGGGATTAAACCAGAGTCATTTTTATCTGAGGACGAAACACGAATCGTTCCGAAGCGCGGCTGAATGACTGGATCACTCACTGGACTGTCGTTGTCTTCATGTGTGTTGTTTGGTTAACGAGTCTGAGAATCACCTTCATGTCCGTCTCTCCTTGTCTCTTATGGGCAGATATCGGGCGCAGGAGACACAAACGGGACATACAGTGGTTCCAAACTGAGAGCTGGACGCTACCAGAGGGCGCTGCAGCAGTTCACCGGCGCTCTGCAGGGTGGCGGCCTGGGAAGATGGCCCCGAAAACCTGGGCCGTCTCCGCGTCGGCGTGTGAACAACTGTGTTAAATGCTGAAAATGGAAGATTGGACGCACAAAGGATGTGACGCTGGATAAAGAAGGAGGCTATCGTACCAGAGAAATGTGCGTGGCCTCGATCGGAGACACGTGCGACAGACATAATTATTTATCACGCAAACGAGCGCAGAGGACACACAACCGAAAATAACATTTAGCGGGAGCAGTCTTCTAAATGTGTTTCGCGTTAGCTTTTAGCCTAAAAGCTGCTGATATCAGCTCTGGAGCACTGTTGCGGACGACCCTTAATTAAGCTAGCATCTCAATGTTGCAAGACGTGCTAATTAGCACGTTTGTGACATCGCTGCGTCGACTTAAGAGTCCGATAGCCCTTCACGGTCGCTTCCCTGAGTATTAAACAGAGATCGGTGTTTGGGTCAAATGTAAAACGCAGCTACGTGAAATAATGACGAGTGCGTCAGCCTCAGAATGACTCAGCTGGTCTCGGGAACCTTCGACAGTGAGGCTCAACAGAGCGGCTCGTTAAGATCCAGAAAACAAACCGTTACGTAAACAGGCGCTAAACATCGTCTTACCTCAGGTCCGATGTTTCCTTCTGCGTTTGTTTGTTAGTCAGCAGGATATCACAAAAACTATATTGGCAGAGGAATGAACGCCCCGAGTATCCAAGCCTCTCGTTTCATTTGTTCATTAAACCGTAGAAATGAAATCCTACATAAACCAAATTATCTGGCGGCACAACATTGAGGTCCAAAGTATCTATATCTATATCTATCTATCTATCTATCTATATCTATAGATATAGATAGATAGATATAGATATCCTCCTGATTTGTTGTAATTGCTGTGAATGAAGGGTCAAAGGTCATTTTCGCTTTGTTAAATACCCAAAGAAAATCTAGTTGGACGTCCAGTTTTACTTTCCAGGTACTTTTATACTTGTGAGGACCCTTATGAAACAACCTTAACTCTTCTCAAACACGACAGTCACACACACACACACACACACACACACACACACAGTTTAGTTTCTGGTTTCCTGTTCTCTTTGTGTTTTCTTTTTGAAAATGTCCGTTGTGTTGTGGGTAACGTTTATCCTCGATGATTGTGTTGCGTATGTTTTCACAGTTCATCTTGAACAGTGACGTAATGTGCAAGTGTACGTGGGGCTAAGCAAAAGTGAAGACATGCCGCCACCTAGAGGAAGCTTGTGCACATTACGGGATGTGGAGTCCAGACCAAACCGAAGAAAACGGTTTAAAATGTTTTTTCCTGTTTCAGCTTTAAAGGATTCATTTAATTAGAAATATCCCAAAGGTCACTTGTTTTCTATGTCCGTCACCTCCGTCTCTCAATGTTTATTTCTAAAGTTTTCCTGAGGAGAGGAATGTTAACGGAGGATTTCTACTGAGAGCCGGTGGAGTTTAATGTGATGTGAACTTTTATTACTAGGTACGCAGAGTTTATGTAGTTTATATTGGTCATGAGTATTTTTACCACTGCAAATAAATTCATTTATTTGTGATAGTTTTTGTGTTTCGTGAATCAGATTCTGTAATTGAACCGGAGTTACATCCATTATCGACGAGGGTCCAGATACACAACTACATGTATACTACAAGAATATCACACGATTAACTCACACACACACACACAGACACAGACACACACACAAGAACCAGTCAATGAGGAAACATCCCAACACTACAAATGGTTTATTTGATTTCACAAGCAGACGCCTGTTCCTCAACACAGTTACAATCCACAGTTTCATCTTTTTTTATTCTTCTGGTCTGTGGCCGTTGGTTCTACATCAACCACTGTCATCACACAGAACACTGAACACCGCGGAGCCAGCGTTTGTCGAGACGGCAGACGTGAGATGGCTGATGCTTCGTGGTCATGTCGTGCGTTTTCACTGTGACTGAACATTCACTTGGAACCGGTGAATTTATGAAAGTGGCTCAGTGTTGGTAAAAATTAACGCTGGAAACACAAACGAACATTCACACAATCTCTCATCAGTCGAACCACAGACGCTCACTTCACTGGTAACAATTTCATTTAACACAAACATGAACAACAACTTCTGATGTAAAAGTTGTTTTGTGAAAAGTTTCCTCTGCAGCTGAAATGTGATTATTTTTAATCATTAGCCCAAAGCAGAGCTACTGATGTGGTTCCACTGGAAAAACCAAGACTTAACTACTTTCACCAGCCCTGGTGTGAACCACAAACAGAGTTTAGTGAAAGCAGCGATGAAGCGTAAAAGATGTGTATTCATGTTTATATCGCGTCTTTTTATTTGTGTTTATTTTATCGAAGAAGTTTTTACTCTACAGAGGAAGAAGCTTCGTTATAAAACCGGCGAGACGCTCCAAGAATCTAAAATGAGAAAGAGTCACTGTGACATGAGCTGTGCTTGTTCACGTTACTGCGGCAACACGTCGAAAAACACACGCCGAGTACATGTGAGTACTACGGCTGAATTCAAACTGCTCGCTACTGATTAAAACACGTTTTAAAACACTGAGTTGGAACACCACACACACACACACACACACACACA